TAAGCATCTCCTGAGGCCCATCATACTGGAGCTCGTCAGGTACCTACTTACAAGTGGTATATAGCTGGTCACATGGAACTTCCACGCTGACTTCCATAGTAGCCAATAATTTAAGTTCCTTCAGCAGTGTGTATGAGTTCCCTTTCCCACATCCTCATAGGCATTTGTGACTGCTTCTCCCTGACAGCTAAGAATACTGAACACTTTTTCAGGTATTTGTTGGTGATATGTACTTCATCTGAGGCCTGTCTGTTCATTACCCCATCTATTGATTGGGTTGTTTGGTTTTTGATTTTTAAAATATATTCTAGATATTAATCCTCCATCAGCTGCACAGCCAGAAGAATTTCTTCTATTCCTTAGACCAGCTTCTTCACTTGATTGTCTCCTCTGTTGTGGAGAACTTTTCGATCTTATGCAATTCCCTTTGTCAACTGCTGGTGTTATGTCTTGGACAACTGGGTCCTCTCTGAAAACCCTCGTCTGTCCTCCACCAGTGCTCTCATGCTGTCCTCTAACAGTTTCACAGGGCCAGGCCTTACTCTCAGACCTCTGACCCATTTTCAATTATTTTTGTACATCATGAGAGATAGCACTCTGGCTCCACTCTTCTGAGTGACTTTCCCGAGAGTCATCTGTTATGGACGTTACTCTCCAAGGTCTGCTCTGACATCTCTGTCACACATCAGTAGCTATGACTGTGCATATCTGCTTCTAGGTCCTCAGTTCCACACCCATTCTTCTCTTCTCTCATGCTGGTACCAAGCTGCTAATGTTTTCTACATTAGCCTTTTTAAAATCATTAGAAAAAGCTATCAATCAATCTTCTTGCTTTATAAATCCAATACCTTCAGTTTAGCTATTGCAGCTCACAGAGATGACGGTCTCTCAGTCATCATTTTGAACATAATTTCTTTTAAGGTTGAATGTATTGGTTCAGGAAATCTCCCTGGAATTTCCAGTTCATCAAAAACTACTATCATTAGTGTCACGAATGACTGACTGACAGCACCACACTTTCTTGAGATGTCTATGAAACGGCTTCCTGCGAAATGGCCTCTCATTCCCCATCTCCCTGCCATACTACAGGTACAGGATAAGGAAGGGTAACGATAGCAACCCCCTTTGGTTTGGTTTTGCTTTTTTTTTCTCTCTACATTCCCTGTGAAGTCCTTCATTCCCTTAGTACAACAACCACAGACAGAAAACACACCCAAGACTTGCAAAAATCTACCTACCCAGAGTTGGTCATCATGTCCTGGAGGGCTCTTTTTAATGAAAGCACCATAGTATGTTGCAATATTTCTATGATGAGAATATTTCTTCAGCATATTTATCTCCAGTTTTATTTCTTCCTCTTCATCCTTAAGGAAAAAAACAAAACATGGCTTTTAAATGATTTGATTTTCTCCCACACAAGCAAATGTAAACTGACAGGAGAAACAAAGGTTCCCTTCATTCTCAGCTCACCCTCCTGAATATGACCACAAGAGAATAGAGAGAGAGATAACCAGTGTGCTACACAGCAGGATGGACCAGGGTGGAGTTCCAGCCTGCTCCTCCACCTCCTGTGACCTCAGGTTACTGACTCTACTTCTCCGAGAGGCAGTTTGCTCAAGTAAAACTCCACCTCAGTGTAAAAAGGTAATTTGACTGCTACTATTTCAAATGATCATTAAGAAAGGCTATTTCCTTTTTAGGAAACATTTATGAATAGACGTCAGGCGACAACACATGTGTTCCGGGGTGTTGTACGAGGCTCCACTCGGAGGCTGACCTCCTTACACAGGTTGTTTTAAACTAAGCTCTTCCTTGCGCCTGCTGTCATATCAATAAGTAGAGCAGCAGGAGAAAAAGAGAAGATGGGAAGAGGAGGAAGAAGGAAACAGACGGACATATGAGCACAAAAACTTCAGTAGGTTGTCCTGTGAATGACAAAGGGAGAGAGGTCATAGTCTCCGCCTCTCTTCATACTTAGGGAAGAAAGCGCATCAATCAACACGGACATTTTATTTTGTTGCCTGCTACACACACTGACAAACTTCCTGTAAGACAGCAGATTATGGAAGTTCTTTAAGTATCATCCAAATGAAGGGAAATTAGAATTTAAGTGAGAAAACTGTGTGTGTGAGGGGGGGGTGTAGGACTCAGCCTTGAGGTGAGATCCCAGTATAATGGGTAAATTAATGATAAAAATCTCTAGAATTCCCTCTGCACTCCATTGTTACAGCTTCCTTGCATTTCTGCACAAGCACACCCACTCGACATTGACATTCTTCCCTTCTCATGGAGTAACTTGAGTGATACACAGGTGTGTGGACACGCATGTCCAGTGAAGCATAGTAAAGTACCCACAAATGTGTGTGTGTGTGAGAGTACAGGCACAAGGCATGAAAGTATCAGCTGCTTTAGGCTAGCATCTACACAAGCTCTCTTAAAGCCTCAAAAATATATTAGACTTTATCACTATTATACTCTAAGATAAAGATAACTATCACTAATAAGATATTAAAGATAAGACCAAAGAAAATGGAAAAGGAAAAATATTAAATATAATTTCAGTTATATATTTTGCTTTAGAAGCCAAACACCTCAGAACGTATGCAGTTATCTTAAAGTAGTGAATCTATGAATGGCAGATCTCCTCCTGGGTATTATTACCAAAAAGATATGATAAATCAAAGACAGAGATACTGGAATGTTACAGACATTCTGCAAATACAGTGATCTTGTAATTTCCATAGGAGATGACTGTCCACAAGGCAGCAGAGTAAGCTGGTCAAATATAGGCTCTACAATGATTTTCCACCCTGCAAAGGAAAACCATACCAAATGCATACCACTTCAACAATTGACTCAAACACGGCCGTGTTCAAAGCAGCAATGAAAACTGGGACAAGAATTATGGCTATGGTAATTATCTTAATTCTATACAAACTAGCATTTAACTTGGCTAATATAAGAAAAAAATGATTCTATCTAAATTTTTTCTTCAAAGGAACTTTATATTAAAAACAAAAAGTAGGATGAACAAAGGAAGAAAGAAATATGTCTCTAACAAAACTAAGAATCCTCAATTCACAGAAAGGCTTTAATTGTGTCCTTTACCTATACATGCCCACTCATATGTACAGAATAATATAATGAGACATGAGAAGGTGGTGAGTTTGCTGGCAAGGAACATCTGGGGTCTGCTTACAAAGCCATTCAGTGCCTCTCCTGGAACAAGGTCCACAGCTAAACACGTGATCCAAAGAGCCCAAAATCCTTACATTCGCTGTAGCCAGGAGATCACAGCAGAAACTAAAGATCAGATCATTTTTACTTAAACAAAAATAAATAAACATATAGGAATTTGGAAAAGATTAAAACAAATTAAAAAAAAGAGTGCACAGCCAGGTGTGGTGGTGCAAGCCCTTTGAGGCCGCCTCGGTCTATATACAGAGTTGCAGGCCAGGGATACACAGTGAGATCTTGTCTTTAAAGAGCATACATGTACAAAACAAAAAGAGTACTTTCAGCAGGCAGGAAAAGGCTAAAACATTCCCTACAGTTCACTGCTGCAGAGCTGTCCTCGTTCAGGGACATGTTTACCCAGATATCCCTCACTCCCACCTTCTTCCACTCTCCACCACGGCTGGTTTTTCCCAGGGTCACTGTTGCATCCCACTAGACAAGGGGCTGGTTCTGCTTCTTGTCAGAGAATAAACACAAGCCGCTCCCTGAAGAGTACTTAAGACTCAGAACAGTCTGACTGGCTGCAGTGCACTTTTCCTTTAAGTACCGGAAGGCAATTCTTCTAGGATAGAGCTGTTCATCAAACGCTTCCAAAGGTACTTGATAGTTCCATAAGTCACTGGTTAAAAAACAAGTACATATTCTCAAGTTGTTATAAGCTTAAATTCAGTACTGTCCAGTGGTCTGAAAATGTTGAATATGTATACTGAGAAATATGATTGGCGGGTTTTCATTGCACTGTTTCTTCTAATTCTAAACATCTTTAGACAAAAACACACTATTGTGTAACTATGCTGCACCATAACAAGACTCATGCTGTAACACCTTCGAACTGGGCCGGGAGGCCTGGAATCCCAGCATCTGGGAGGCTGAGGCAGGAAGACTATGCAAGTTTGTAGGCTATATAATGGAACTCATCTCAAAAAGAGAAACTGGGTTACGTCTTAGAGTCAATGAAATACAAGACCTTAAGTGCACTCAAATTCAACAGTAGCCTTGCTAGAGGACTGATACATCATCTAGAGAGAAAGTGATTACATTCATTTACTTGCCAAAATATGCCCTTGAGGTCTTAAGGAGTCAAATCCTAAGCCATAAGAAACTCAACTACAAAGAATACTGAGAGGAAATCGTGGTCTCTTTTCCAAAGTACTGTTTTAGGATGATGTAATGTAACAGATACTCTGAACATTATCTCTGTTGTTTTTATGATTTTAAAATAGATGACTACTGCATATCTAATAAAGACATTCTCCACTACTTATTGTCATTTACTGACTTATTATGAAGGCCTAGCCTTGGAGGAAAAAAGCATCAGAAACAGAGATTTGCCAATGGATTTTGTGCCAATTACAACTAGAACCTAAGGACTACTGTGTATGCAATATTCTACATTGTCTTTAGACTACAGATATAATGAAGCAAGTTTTGAGTTTCAACTTCCCTTTGATCATTGGTTTAAAGTAAGGTTCAGGGTTAGAGAGGTGGCTCAGCAGTTAAGAGCACTGGCTACTCTTCCAGAGGACCCTAATTCTATACTCAGCACCCACATGGAGGTGCACAACCATTTAAACTCCAGTTTCAGGGGGATCCAATGTCCTTTTCTGGCCTCCAGGGTGACCAGGTACACATGTGGTACACAGACTGTGTACACATAAAATAAAAAACAAATGTTTTCTAAAAAAAAAAATAAGTTTGGTAGTCTCATTTCAACATTTATTATATACACACATACCACTGCCAAAGTAAACACCGTATTTAAGTAGAAGATACAGCAGTAAACAGGCAGTAAACAGACTTGGGGCTGGCATTTAAAAAAAAATAGTTGAACTGACAAAGCTACTCAGAGAAAGTTTAAACAACATCCCATGTTTAGAGTCCAAATTACTGTGTCCTTCATCCCCTGCTTTAGGGGAGCCAAGATGATCGCAAATAGGAGGAACTGAAGGATTCGGGATGGGGGCTTCTTGGAGCAAAAGGGAAGAGGGCTCTCTTCTGGTTTCCTCCAATGATGAGGCAGCTGCTGACCCCCACTTAGTGAGTTAATGCAGCTGGTGCCAATTAGCATTTTGGCCTCTGACCAACAGGAGCAATTCTCAGAGAAAAGGTCTTTGTCTGGAGCTGGACTCTGACAGTGGATGAGCTTTCAGTTGGCTCCCTGGCTATCTGAGGACTGGGGGCTGGGAGGAGCCAACATCTGCACAGCATTAATTTGCACAAGCAGCCATGGGCTGTAAATGAGTCAAAAGAGAAGCACTGCCCACTTCACCATCTGAGCACACAGGGGTGCAAATTATTACTTTGGCTCTTTGTCTTTTAATGGCCTCTTGGGTGGTGTTCTGAAGATTGTTTTGCAGTGCCTTGAGTATGTTAGGTAAGTGCTGTGCCACTGAGCTAACATCTCCAGCCTTTTTGTGTTCCCTTAAAATGTTGCTTTAACCCCTTATTGTCTAAGTGCTGTCTCATTCCACTGATGGTGGGACTGATCAGAGACAGGCAGACCTCCGAGATGCTAACTGGGAAACAAGAGGACTGAGGAATGTTCTGAGTTTACCATCTTTCCACCTGGCTTCTTTACAAATTTAAACATCAGTTATTGACAGTTGAACAAATAGAGGAGCAACTGATGGTCTTTGCAAACCTGGAGAAAAACATTGGTGAAGTGAGACAGTCTCTCTGGGGGATTTCTGCACTAAGATGTAAGCACGTTCCTAAAAGAAATGAATGGTTTATAGTCAACTGCTACTCTGCTCTTCCTTAAGGCTGCAAACTGAAAGAAATTAAGATATTTCAACTTACAGAGTCCTGGTAGATCTGAGTGTATTACTCAGTTCAAGCCAAGTTAAAAGGAGCACAGACTCAATTAAGTTTAATTTGATTCAAACATAAAGTTACACATCTTAACATTCACCATTCAACAATATGTAAATGAAGAAAATTTTACAGATTCTAGAAGAGGATAAATTTTAGAACAAAATTAAAATTATGGAATCAGGTCACAAGACTGACAGTCTTCAAAACTAACATCTTCATCCAAATTACTGAATACTACAGTAAAAACTCATGAAAATTAATATATCCAAAGTGAAAATCACATATGCACAGAAGCTTGCTCAAGATATAGAAG